TACATATCTGGAAATTAGAAATTACCACACTGGAAATACATAGAAATTAGATTATTCATGAAAATATTGAAATTATAAGTTACAATCTTTCACGAGTCTAGATATCTTTTTAAACAAAATTAATGTTTTAAAATAGTTTCTCTAGAATAGTAAATCATTAATTTTATAACTTGTTTGTATAAATATCCCCAAACATTAGGGCTGGAATTATTATCCGAGATCCGGATCCGATCCGAGATCCGATCCGGATCCGCTCCGAAAATAGGATATCTGGGGTGTCCCGGATCCGAATCCGGATAGTAAAATGTCGGATCCGTCGAATCCGGATCCGAATCCGGATATCTGGATTTTTAGGTCCGGATATCCGGATCCGGATCCGTTATTTTTTTAATATATTAAATTTAAAATATTATTAATAATTATAGTTCATTGATTAATATTTATACATGAAATTAGTCTTATAATATTATATTTTAATTTTAATAATATTATATACATAAATATATTTATAAATTTTGTAAATATATTTAAGTTATGTAATATTTATGGAGTTTTGGCATTTTAAAAAATATTTTTATTTTTTTATAGTTATTTTGGCGGATCCGGATCCGAATCCGGATACCCGCGGATATCATGATATCTAGACGGATATCCGGAACCCGGATATCCGGTAGACACGGATCCGGATCCGGATCCTTAAATCACGGATCCGACGGATCCGGATCCGGATCCGGATACCCCGAATATCCCGGATATCCGAATCCGTCCCACCCCTACCAAACATTAAAATACTATGATAATAAACCGGTTTTTGTATTATTACAATATACTATGTTACAGATAGGTTTACTCTAAAAATAATAATATGTTTGGTTTTAAACATATTTATCGTGAATGGAGATGTTCAATATATTTTATACTCTCTATTTATCAAACATCAGCTATGAAAATTAATCAATGGAAATGATAGAGGGTACTGTTGCACAGTTGGTGGCTCAAGCAAATGATATATTTTTTGTTTAATGTGTGAAATCAGTNGGAGAAATAAAAATATTGACCGATAAGAGTAATGTATAATAAATAAGAATATTGACTAATTTATTGTTAGAGAAATATAAGGTAAGTTATATGATATAATGTTATTGTACAATATTGTTAGAGAAATATAAGGAAAGATAAAAAAAATGTTAGTATAATGAAAGGGTCCAAACAACTTTTTTAAGTAGATTTATTTAGATTCCTTCTCTTTTAATATAATAGATAAAATTCTTAAACTTGCATATGAGGACACAACACCTAATTACTTAGATAAAAAAGAAATTTAGGATAAAATAAATAAAACATAGGAACATCATTATTTATTAGTATTATTATCCTAATTATATTCCACAACTTGCGGTCGACCTAATGTCATTGTATATCATATTATCGGGATGATTTATTCCTATCCAGTTTCTATCATCTATCAGGGTGCATATACATATACACAGGATATGCTAATTTGCTAACCTATTAGTACGTCTCCTTTTAAAATATTTTTTGGAGTTGTTTGGATATCAGTTATTTGTTGTGTTACAAGATATGAGAATAGCAGTCGATCCCATATGTAGTTCGGTTTAATATGGTCTTTGTCAATGCTGGAAACTTTTGAGAAAAAACATTAATAACTTTAGTTTTTCAACCAATTTCTCTTTTTTTTTTTTGTATTGATTTTGTTTTGTTTGACGGGCGATTGTAGTTGCTCAAAAAAAAAAAAAAAGACGGGCGATTGTTATTCTGTTCAAAGACCATATGGATTTCATTGGTTTGTATTTAGCGAAATTAACATGGAAAAAGGTAAGAAATGCATGTTGATATGCACCACACTGTGAATCTATGAGCTGCTGTACAGTATTGAAAAAATAGTTATCATCGATAAAATTTGAATATGTGATATTCAGTCAATAAATGTACTGGTGAACCGAGACAATTGGACAGTTAAGTTAGTTGACGATTAGGTGTCCTATCCTTCTTTTCAATGAAAACCCCAAAAGAACAACTTAAAAAGAAAAAAAAAACTAATCAATTGTTACTAAAAACCCAACTAGACTTGTTGGGAAACCCCAATTAATACCATCATCCACACAAAACCAACTAGTAATAATATATTTGCTTTTACCCGCTTGTATTTTCACTCATCATATCACGAAACTTTGTATTATTTTCGTCAGAATGTGTTCCAATTATAATTTCGTATTAATTTGCTTAGTTGCATAGGTAAAGAATAATTCTTGTCATACTACCAAAAGTCAAGAGAAAATTTTGAATACGTATATCTTTCTATTGATCAATTGATAGTTGATACTACTATGACGAAATTTGAAATCTACAGCGGCAGTTTATAATTGACAATTTTCTAACAACTGATAATAGAAACATTCAAATTATGAAACCATTTATCATAAAAAAAAAGAAACATTCAAATATGTTCTTCCTAAAAAAGAAACACTCATATTATTTTGTGTAGGTAGAAAACTATTTTTAACTGTTCTTAAGAATTTTTTTTTGTGTCGGTACACTAAATTAATTATAATCATTTGACTTGGTCTTTTTCTAATCGTTTCAATATTGGTAAACGGTGGTTTTCGTCACCAATGGATACATATAATTGAGCCAACATTTAAGAAAAGGTATATGCTTTTGTTTACAACTAATATACTCACTCAAACTAGGATCAAACCAAAATAGATGCGATTAGATTAGTGGAGACTGCAGATAAATATCCTAAGGTGTATCTCTTATTCTGAGTGGTATATTTTCTTTCAAATGTTTCACCTATATTATTGAAGCTGTCCTCTTAAAATGTAACTATTCATAGTTTTGTATCTTACTGAAAGGAATCCGTAAGAAAATCCTTAAATTGTATGTCAATGCTCGTATTATTCAACATTGTTAATCTCGGTTTTTAAAAAATATATATTTACGATATTATTTTCATGAATCGAGTGGTATACCAGTTCTGAGTGGTGTATTTTCTTTCAAACGTTTTCTTTCCCACGACTCTTTATTTTCTTTCTAAAAGGAGTCTTTTGTCAAAAGGTAGATGTATGTCATGTGGCAATGAAAACCATTTTCTTGTGGACGTCTAAGGAAGCTATAAAACTATAAGGGAATAGTCATATAAAAGAAACAGAAAAGAAATGAATTAATTCTGCAAGAAAGTGCATTAACCATAAAACTATTCGACAGAGGTGTCACCATATGGATTCTATCCAAATTTAATTAGAGTAAACGGTAGGATTTATAAATCCAAAATCTGAATTTAAGCGGAAAGTTCCAAAAGTCTCCCACTAAATTAATCGTTACACATATCAATTAATTATTTTAAGTTAAAATATTACTGAAAAAATAAAAATGAAATATCAAACTTATTCATAGTAAAAATTTGAAACAAGAATAAGGAAAATAACTATAAAAATAGAGAAATTCTGTTACATTACTAAACTAGGTGTAGAAAAATAACTGGTTATTTACACTAATACATATTCAGATGGGAATCTACCTGATTTTCATAAAAATATCATGTAGTAAGATATTTAAAGCGTTTTCTAATGTGAGGGCTTTTTCAACAATTCAGGAAGATGCTTAGAGCATACGTGTCTTTGCTACATCACCAAAATAAAAAAGAAAAAGGACAATTCTTGGTTTAATTATTTTTTAATTTCAAAGCTCTTATCCTTCCCCCTGTATAAATAAACCAAATTTTTCCTAAATTTTCAAAGTTTTATTTCCATTTCCTTTAACTGTCTAGTTCCTCAAAATTCTCCAACCTTTGCTTCTTCTTCTATCTTTCTTCAACCTCTTTCTTTCTTCTTCAACGTCGACGTGTGTCTGCAAAGAACACATATATATATCCCTGCTTTTTCTTAATCCAGCAAAAAATTGCCTCATCTTAATTGTTCTTGAAAAAAAACATACATATATAGATATGGTGGACGAAGGAGGTGTAGTTGTGAACCAAGGAGGGGACCAAGAGGTGGTGGATTTGCCTCCAGGGTTTCGGTTTCATCCAACTGATGAGGAGATCATAACTCACTACCTCAAAGAGAAGGTCTTCAACGTCCGATTTACCTCGGCTGCAATTGGTCAAGCCGACCTTAACAAGAACGAGCCATGGGATCTACCAAGTAAGTCAAGTCATTAGCAATTTTTATTTTATTTTAATTTGACCGTTTCAGAAGTTAGCATACATCAAGATTCTGATTCTTGAATTTACTTTTGTTGGGGGTGCAGAAATTGCAAAAATGGGAGAGAAGGAGTTTTACTTCTTTTGTCAAAGGGATCGTAAGTACCCGACCGGCATGAGGACGAACCGTGCAACCCTGTCCGGTTATTGGAAGGCGACCGGGAAGGACAAGGAGATCTTTAGAGGTAAAGGTTGTCTTGTTGGGATGAAGAAGACACTTGTGTTCTATAGAGGAAGAGCTCCAAAAGGTGAAAAGACCAATTGGGTTATGCATGAGTATCGTCTTGATGGCCAATACTCTTATCACAACCTCCCAAAATCCGCAAGGGTATGTTAAAGTTATCAACTACTTTTGCAAAACTATTAATTTGATTCAATTTATTTTTATTGAGAAATATCCAACTTTGATGCATACAAATTGTGCTTGGAATGAAATGTTTATCTTATAATTGTTCTTAATTAACCCAAAAGCAAAAAAAAAAAATCTAAATATGAACTTAACTAATTATGAGTCTTTAATTAACTAAACTTTTTTGTGTGTGTGATGATTATAGGATGAATGGGTGGTGTGTAGGGTTTTTCACAAGAACGCTCCTCTTCCCACTACTACAGCTACTACTACAAATCAAATTACAAGGATTGACTCTCTTGACAACATTGATCATCTCTTAGACTTCTCATCTCTCCCTCCTCTCATCGATCCAGGTTTCTTGAGTCAACCTGGCCCAAGCTTCTCCAGTGCCGGCCAACAACACGACTTCAAACCCATCCCCCATCACCCTACAACCATGCAGATTAACAACACTTACCCATCATCCCCAACCCTCACTTACCCTTACCACTCAGTTCCTAATTACGGATTTGGTTCGGGTTATGGGACCAGTTCGGGCAACAATAACAACGGTATGATCAAGTTGGAGAATTCTCTTGTGAGTGTGTCTCAAGAAACCGGTTTAAGTTCCGATGTGAACACAACCGCGACGCCGGAGATATCTTCTTCGTATCCAGGGATGGTGAATTCGGTGGCCAATGCGGGGATGATGGATGGTAACAAGATTTCGTATGATGATGATGACTTGGGGATCTTCTGGGACGACTACTAACTAACTATTTAGTTGTGAATTTGTGAGAATGGCATTGATTACTTTGTTTAGTGATTTTAATCAGGTAATTAATTTGTTCTTAAATCGTTATGGATTATTAGGTTTTCCTAGGCAATGAACTTTAGGTAGACTATATTGTTTACATAGCTTTTACTTTGGGATAAAAAAATGGTTTGTAATTTGAAACACATTTCATTGTGATTAACTTGTGTATATATATATACTTATATATAATTCTTCATATGGTTTTATATCTTTGTTATGAAGTTATATAAAAACTGTTGGTAAAGTGCACATAATTTTAAGATTTTGGAAAATCAAGATTTTCAAGCAAGGTTAATATCAACTCTTGGTTACGATTTAGTAACAAGACATATGTACATAGAATTAAAAGTCTATGAGTTGTTTTATCAAAAAAAAAGTCTATGAGTTGCAACGTTCGAGTTCGAAACTCGTGAATACTAATCCCACAAGCTTGTAGTTTTAATGTAAAGTCTATGATTAGGTGAGTGATTGGTACTATTTATCAACCAGACAATTCAATTCATAGCAGTTATTAGACTACCGTCTCTTAGTATTTATAAGTCATACTTTACTTTTAGAGCAATAGCTATAATGTCATGCATGGCTAAGTGCGAAATATCTATAGCATTGTCTTTATTTGGGCGAAGGAGAATATCAAAGAAAGTAATTGTCCTTTTATTCAGATCATAAAGTGGGAAAATATGGACCTATAGAATCTGAATAAACTGAGAGGAGGAACACAGCTCATGAAGCATGTGAGTTGTTCCTTAAATTTGGGCATCATCTTGGCCATTTCATATGCCTAATAAGTTAGTTTACTAGTATTAAATTATTCAACAGTTAATTAAATATATTACTAAGATGCTTAGCAAGGACAGTAGTTAATGATGGATTACTTGTAAAAACAAATTCCAGATCCCTAAGTCTTCTGTCTTAAGGAACTTAGTTATTACACTCAGCTACTTTACGTCTTACTAATTAGTGTCGATAAAACTATACTATTATATAAACAGATAAACTCGGCTTTCAATAGTTAAAGCAAAATGTTAATTTAATTTCTATGTGATACTTTTATTTTGATAACTTAAACTATTGTATTTTCTTATGCCATTTCACATATAACGTTTTCATGCTAATATGGAACCGTCCGTTTCTGAGCATATGGAGAACTTGAGCACATTCTTGACCGTTTTTATAAAATGAGTCTTTTTTTTTTCTGAATTGGAGTTCTCTTTTTTTTCTTTATGTTATTCCCTCTGTTTTTTTTTTTTTAATGTTGTTTCCTCTTTTCCTTTGATCTTACTCATAGTAAACCTAGAACTACAGTATGTTGAAGTTCTAGATCCCGTAATATTCTGTTAAACAGCTGCAGATTGTTTCGGTTAATGTTCTTCAAAAATCAAATTAGATTCTTGATATACTTTTGCATTAACGACAAAGGGAAAATGAATAGATAACACCAAATACAGTAGATTAAAGAAAAAAAAACAGTTCATGATAGTCGTGTGGTTGAATGATTTATCAGGAGGCTAGAGAACCAACATCAAAGCTTTCTTCATGCAATTTTAATTTCTTTTAAATGTATCCGACCCTTGCATGAACCCATGAATTAGTATGAGTTTAGATTTGGAATCCTCTACTTATTATATATATACATATTATCTTCGAGGGTGATTCACAAACTCTGGTCTATGTAGACGGATATCTTCATACAGCATTAAATTTCAGATATTAATATCTGGGCAAATAAATTTACAATGGCATTTTTCAACTTTGTGCATCGCATTCATAATAATGTAGTTTAGGTGTAGCAAAGAAAAGACCTCCAAATTAAATCTTTCTATAATGACTGTATTTATCCACCAATATGGTTAAAAGTAACTTAACACCATCTCTCCCTCTGTATTCTGATTCACAACTTTCAAATTAATAAAATTATAACTATGTCGAACAGGAAAAAGTATCTTGTTTAAAGGCATGAATCTGTTACCTTTTGATGAATATATTAATGCGCATTATGACAAACTTTCCGTTTAAAGCAAAGTCTTTAGATGATTACTTGCAGCAAGACTAACCGCTTCTTTCCTCTTATAGGTTTCTAGATGATTGCCAATTTGCAATCTTAATTCATCTCCCATGACCTTTTTCCCTCATCCTTTTCAATTTATCTTTTTTTCTTCTTTCATGTCCGCATCTATGTAACTTATATTTAAACTCTTAAGATTATATATAGACTGTTTCACGAATCATATCAATTCTAATGCATAACATGATGAGTGTTCGAACAAGGATTTTTTTGTGACAAATGTTCCTTCTCAAACATTGATATTATTATTATATCTTAAATTATGCGTGAAAAAATATGGACGGTCAGTCGGTCACGCTCAACAACCAGTAACTTGCCTTGACAAAATTCTCCATCGGTTATGAAGTGCAAACCGGATCCACCAACTTCTCATAACCGGTGACCAACATGATTTTTCCACTAATTGGTTTTTGAATTTTCCATCAACTTTGGCGACAAAAAAATGGCATAAAGAGACCAAACATAAGCCCATGTAAAATATAGAAGAAGACGAGCACGTATGCGTTTAATCCATGCACGTAAACTTTTAAAAATGTCAAAAAAAAAAACCTTTTTTAATAAAACGATAAAAAGAGGCAAAACTTAATTTCTCAAACACTAATTTAGACCCCACAAAAAATTCAAAACTTCTAAATTAACCCCGTGTCCTAAAAAAAAGACCACTCTACTCCACAAACAGAGTCTTGAGAACAGAGCAACCATCAATGTAATGAACCAAGACAACCGAGTCTCCAACCTTACAGATTCCCTTCTCCTTCGCAAACTCAACCGCGAATCTTGTCGCCTCCTCTGCCGAACCACTGTTTCCAACCACCGGAACGATCCCACGGTAAATCAACCCACGTTTCGCCACCGAAACAGAACACCTCGGCTCGAACTCATCCGAAACAGCCACCGAAAGAATCGGAACACTTGGCCTATACTTCGCCACAAGCCCCGCCGTGTATCCTCCCTTTGTGAGCACCACAATGGCCTTGGCTCCATGAACCTTGGCCTTGGAGACAGCTGAAGCGGCTAACTCCTCGACTGTAGACAACGGCAAGGGCACAGTTTCTTGAATCTTCTTGTGCACGGCATCGTAGTCAAGAGTATCCTCTGCCACTTTACAGATTCTCGCCATGATCTTCACGGCGGCTTCAGGGTGGGCTCCGGCGGCGGTTTCTCCACTGAGCATGACGCAGTCTGTGCCGTCTAGGACAGCGTTGGCCACGTCAGTGGCTTCAGCTCTTGTCGGAAGAGGAGATTTGGTCATAGACTCGAGCATCTGTGTAGCTGTCACTACTGGTTTTCCGACAGCGTTAGCTCTCTCGATCATCATCTTCTGAGCTTGAAAGATCCTCTCGATCGGAATCTCCATACCTAGATCACCTCTAGCCACCATGAATGCGTCAGACTTCTTTAAGATCTCGTCGAAGTTCATCACTCCTTCTTGATTCTCAACCTGTTAAGACATTAACATGTAAGTATAGTTTTACTTGCGAAACAAGAAACATGTATTCTGTTTTTTTTTTTTAAATTTACCTTTGACATGAGCACGATTCTCTTTGCGTGTTCTCCAAGTAACTCTCTGACTAGGTCTAGGTCAGATCCTTTACGAACAAAGGAGAGAGCAATGATATCAATCTTGTTTGGAACTCCCCACTTGAGAATATCTTCTTGATCTTTCTCTGTTAGCGTTGGGAGATCAACTACAACTCCTGGGAGGTTAACGTTCTTTTTCTCTCCTAGGGTTGCTGAGTTCTCGCATCGGCAACGGACAAGACCGTTAACCTTGTCGCATGACAAGACAGTCATAGAGATTGTCCCGTCGGAACAGAGAATCCGGTCTCCTGACTTGAGATCTTCAGCAAGTTTCTTGTAGCTCATTGAGATTGTGTTTGAATCTCCTTCCAAGGTGTAATCAGTTGAGATTGTTATCTCTTGACCATGGATTAGCTGAACCGGTTCGCCTCCTTTGAGAAATCCGGTTCTAATCTCAGGACCCTGAAAACCAATTTAAACCGAGTTAGGTTTAAATATTATCATTAATTAGGTTTTAAAAAGATTAGTGAATTAGGTTACCTTTGTGTCAAGCATCACGGCACAGAGAATGCCAGTGTTCTTCATGGCGATTCTTAGGTTATCGAGAGTTCCTTGGTGGTACTCGTGAGTACCATGGGAGAAGTTGAACCGGGCTACGTTCATACCGGCTTTGAGAAGCTTCTCGATCATCTCAACGGATCTGGACACTGGTCCAAGAGTACACACGATCTTTGTCTTCTTGAGAGCTCCATTAGTTCTTCCATCAAGGATCTTCTCCATTGTGAACTTTTAAAGAAAATACGAAATTAAAAGGGATTTTAAAATGTGAGAACTTGTGAAAGATTATGATTTGTGAGCCTTGCAGCTATCTATGTTTATATAGGAATCGTTTAGAACTTGGAGAGAAATAATGTCCTTTTTTCAAATAACAAAATGGAAAATATAAAGAAACAATTTCCATTTATGTATGGTTTTAATTTGGTAATAATGTTCGACTCTGAGTCGAAAATGAAGGAAAAGGAAACGTCTTTACTGAATTCTTGTGTCTCAAGTAACGACAGTTATGTGACGTTCATGATTTTTGGAAATATGAATTTTCGATTTTGCATTAATGCTTAAGATTTAAAAGGGAAACGTTGCTTCTTAACATTTATTGATGTTCTTGTATATCAAGAATAAAAAGACTAAACCGTCGAAGAGAGAAAATTTTAACAATTGTGATTAGCAGCGTATTTAACAAACCATCGGGTAAACTTGTCAATTTTACTAAATTAGCACAATAAATCAGTAAATTTTTCATAGTGTCGCACAGTTTCTTATTATTGAGTAATAATTTTCTGCCGTTTTTGTGAGGTACACAATAAGTCAGTAAAACTGTAATGATTTATTATTTTATTTTTGGAAACATCATGTAACTAGGAACGAATCGGTATAATTCGAAGATACTCCTCTTCTCAGATGACTAAATGAGTGTCCTCAAAGGCAAGCTGTGACGAAGTCGGTACAAACACATAACTAACAAGACCAGTATTGTCCCATTATATAGCAAATACCAAAGACATGAAAAGGAGGAGGAAGATGATCTTTAAACCTGCAAGCCAGCACAA